ATTTATAAGCAGTATTTAAGGTATCAGGTCCTAGTCCACCTGCTCTGTAACTAAACTAACCTTTGATTTATAAGCAGTATTTAAGGTATCAGGTCCTAGTCCACCTGCTCTGTAACTAAACTAACCTTTGATTTATAAGCAGTATTTAAGGTATCAGGTCCTAGTCCACCTGCTCTGTAACTAAACTAACCTTTGATTTATAAGCAGTATTTAAGGTATCAGGTCCTAGTCCACCTGCTCTGTAACTAAACTAACCTTTGATTTATAAGCAGTATTTAAGGTATCAGGTCCTAGTCCACCTGCTCTGTAACTAAACTAACCTTTGATTTATAAGCAGTATTTAAGGTATCAGGTCCTAGTCCACCTGCTCTGTAACTAAACTAACCTTTGATTTATAAGCAGTATTTAAGGTATCAGGTCCTAGTCCACCTGCTCTGTAACTAAACTAACCTTTGATTTATAAGCAGTATTTAAGGTATCAGGTCCTAGTCCACCTGCTCTGTAACTAAACTAACCTTTGATTTATAAGCAGTATTTAAGGTATCAGGTCCTAGTCCACCTGCTCTGTAACTAAACTAACCTTTGATTTATAAGCAGTATTTAAGGTATCAGGTCCTAGTCCACCTGCTCTGTAACTAAACTAACCTTTGATTTATAAGCAGTATTTAAGGTATCAGGTCCTAGTCCACCTGCTCTGTAACTAAACTAACCTTTGATTTATAAGCAGTATTTAAGGTATCAGGTCCTAGTCCACCTGCTCTGTAACTAAACTAACCTTTGATTTATAAGCAGTATTTAAGGTATCAGGTCCTAGTCCACCTGCTCTGTAACTAAACTAACCTTTGATTTATAAGCAGTATTTAAGGTATCAGGTCCTAGTCCACCTGCTCTGTAACTAAACTAACCTTTGATTTATAAGCAGTATTTAAGGTATCAGGTCCTAGTCCACCTGCTCTGTAACTAAACTAACCTTTGATTTATAAGCAGTATTTAAGGTATCAGGTCCTAGTCCACCTGCTCTGTAACTAAACTAACCTTTGATTTATAAGCAGTATTTAAGGTATCAGGTCCTAGTCCACCTGCTCTGTAACTAAACTAACCTTTGATTTATAAGCAGTATTTAAGGTATCAGGTCCTAGTCCACCTGCTCTGTAACTAAACTAACCTTTGATTTATAAGCAGTATTTAAGGTATCAGGTCCTAGTCCACCTGCTCTGTAACTAAACTAACCTTTGATTTATAAGCAGTATTTAAGGTATCAGGTCCTAGTCCACCTGCTCTGTAACTAAACTAACCTTTGATTTATAAGCAGTATTTAAGGTATCAGGTCCTAGTCCACCTGCTCTGTAACTAAACTAACCTTTGATTTATAAGCAGTATTTAAGGTATCAGGTCCTAGTCCACCTGCTCTGTAACTAAACTAACCTTTGATTTATAAGCAGTATTTAAGGTATCAGGTCCTAGTCCACCTGCTCTGTAACTAAACTAACCTTTGATTTATAAGCAGTATTTAAGGTATCAGGTCCTAGTCCACCTGCTCTGTAACTAAACTAACCTTTGATTTATAAGCAGTATTTAAGGTATCAGGTCCTAGTCCACCTGCTCTGTAACTAAACTAACCTTTGATTTATAAGCAGTATTTAAGGTATCAGGTCCTAGTCCACCTGCTCTGTAACTAAACTAACCTTTGATTTATAAGCAGTATTTAAGGTATCAGGTCCTAGTCCACCTGCTCTGTAACTAAACTAACCTTTGATTTATAAGCAGTATTTAAGGTATCAGGTCCTAGTCCACCTGCTCTGTAACTAAACTAACCTTTGATTTATAAGCAGTATTTAAGGTATCAGGTCCTAGTCCACCTGCTCTGTAACTAAACTAACCTTTGATTTATAAGCAGTATTTAAGGTATCAGGTCCTAGTCCACCTGCTCTGTAACTAAACTAACCTTTGATTTATAAGCAGTATTTAAGGTATCAGGTCCTAGTCCACCTGCTCTGTAACTAAACTAACCTTTGATTTATAAGCAGTATTTAAGGTATCAGGTCCTAGTCCACCTGCTCTGTAACTAAACTAACCTTTGATTTATAAGCAGTATTTAAGGTATCAGGTCCTAGTCCACCTGCTCTGTAACTAAACTAACCTTTGATTTATAAGCAGTATTTAAGGTATCAGGTCCTAGTCCACCTGCTCTGTAACTAAACTAACCTTTGATTTATAAGCAGTATTTAAGGTATCAGGTCCTAGTCCACCTGCTCTGTAACTAAACTAACCTTTGATTTATAAGCAGTATTTAAGGTATCAGGTCCTAGTCCACCTGCTCTGTAACTAAACTAACCTTTGATTTATAAGCAGTATTTAAGGTATCAGGTCCTAGTCCACCTGCTCTGTAACTAAACTAACCTTTGATTTATAAGCAGTATTTAAGGTATCAGGTCCTAGTCCACCTGCTCTGTAACTAAACTAACCTTTGATTTATAAGCAGTATTTAAGGTATCAGGTCCTAGTCCACCTGCTCTGTAACTAAACTAACCTTTGATTTATAAGCAGTATTTAAGGTATCAGGTCCTAGTCCACCTGCTCTGTAACTAAACTAACCTTTGATTTATAAGCAGTATTTAAGGTATCAGGTCCTAGTCCACCTGCTCTGTAACTAAACTAACCTTTGATTTATAAGCAGTATTTAAGGTATCAGGTCCTAGTCCACCTGCTCTGTAACTAAACTAACCTTTGATTTATAAGCAGTATTTAAGGTATCAGGTCCTAGTCCACCTGCTCTGTAACTAAACTAACCTTTGATTTATAAGCAGTATTTAAGGTATCAGGTCCTAGTCCACCTGCTCTGTAACTAAACTAACCTTTGATTTATAAGCAGTATTTAAGGTATCAGGTCCTAGTCCACCTGCTCTGTAACTAAACTAACCTTTGATTTATAAGCAGTATTTAAGGTATCAGGTCCTAGTCCACCTGCTCTGTAACTAAACTAACCTTTGATTTATAAGCAGTATTTAAGGTATCAGGTCCTAGTCCACCTGCTCTGTAACTAAACTAACCTTTGATTTATAAGCAGTATTTAAGGTATCAGGTCCTAGTCCACCTGCTCTGTAACTAAACTAACCTTTGATTTATAAGCAGTATTTAAGGTATCAGGTCCTAGTCCACCTGCTCTGTAACTAAACTAACCTTTGATTTATAAGCAGTATTTAAGGTATCAGGTCCTAGTCCACCTGCTCTGTAACTAAACTAACCTTTGATTTATAAGCAGTATTTAAGGTATCAGGTCCTAGTCCACCTGCTCTGTAACTAAACTAACCTTTGATTTATAAGCAGTATTTAAGGTATCAGGTCCTAGTCCACCTGCTCTGTAACTAAACTAACCTTTGATTTATAAGCAGTATTTAAGGTATCAGGTCCTAGTCCACCTGCTCTGTAACTAAACTAACCTTTGATTTATAAGCAGTATTTAAGGTATCAGGTCCTAGTCCACCTGCTCTGTAACTAAACTAACCTTTGATTTATAAGCAGTATTTAAGGTATCAGGTCCTAGTCCACCTGCTCTGTAACTAAACTAACCTTTGATTTATAAGCAGTATTTAAGGTATCAGGTCCTAGTCCACCTGCTCTGTAACTAAACTAACCTTTGATTTATAAGCAGTATTTAAGGTATCAGGTCCTAGTCCACCTGCTCTGTAACTAAACTAACCTTTGATTTATAAGCAGTATTTAAGGTATCAGGTCCTAGTCCACCTGCTCTGTAACTAAACTAACCTTTGATTTATAAGCAGTATTTAAGGTATCAGGTCCTAGTCCACCTGCTCTGTAACTAAACTAACCTTTGATTTATAAGCAGTATTTAAGGTATCAGGTCCTAGTCCACCTGCTCTGTAACTAAACTAACCTTTGATTTATAAGCAGTATTTAAGGTATCAGGTCCTAGTCCACCTGCTCTGTAACTAAACTAACCTTTGATTTATAAGCAGTATTTAAGGTATCAGGTCCTAGTCCACCTGCTCTGTAACTAAACTAACCTTTGATTTATAAGCAGTATTTAAGGTATCAGGTCCTAGTCCACCTGCTCTGTAACTAAACTAACCTTTGATTTATAAGCAGTATTTAAGGTATCAGGTCCTAGTCCACCTGCTCTGTAACTAAACTAACCTTTGATTTATAAGCAGTATTTAAGGTATCAGGTCCTAGTCCACCTGCTCTGTAACTAAACTAACCTTTGATTTATAAGCAGTATTTAAGGTATCAGGTCCTAGTCCACCTGCTCTGTAACTAAACTAACCTTTGATTTATAAGCAGTATTTAAGGTATCAGGTCCTAGTCCACCTGCTCTGTAACTAAACTAACCTTTGATTTATAAGCAGTATTTAAGGTATCAGGTCCTAGTCCACCTGCTCTGTAACTAAACTAACCTTTGATTTATAAGCAGTATTTAAGGTATCAGGTCCTAGTCCACCTGCTCTGTAACTAAACTAACCTTTGATTTATAAGCAGTATTTAAGGTATCAGGTCCTAGTCCACCTGCTCTGTAACTAAACTAACCTTTGATTTATAAGCAGTATTTAAGGTATCAGGTCCTAGTCCACCTGCTCTGTAACTAAACTAACCTTTGATTTATAAGCAGTATTTAAGGTATCAGGTCCTAGTCCACCTGCTCTGTAACTAAACTAACCTTTGATTTATAAGCAGTATTTAAGGTATCAGGTCCTAGTCCACCTGCTCTGTAACTAAACTAACCTTTGATTTATAAGCAGTATTTAAGGTATCAGGTCCTAGTCCACCTGCTCTGTAACTAAACTAACCTTTGATTTATAAGCAGTATTTAAGGTATCAGGTCCTAGTCCACCTGCTCTGTAACTAAACTAACCTTTGATTTATAAGCAGTATTTAAGGTATCAGGTCCTAGTCCACCTGCTCTGTAACTAAACTAACCTTTGATTTATAAGCAGTATTTAAGGTATCAGGTCCTAGTCCACCTGCTCTGTAACTAAACTAACCTTTGATTTATAAGCAGTATTTAAGGTATCAGGTCCTAGTCCACCTGTTCTGTAACCAAAACTTCTCTTCATTGCTCCGTACTCTTTCAAAGTATAGGGTCTGTATGTAACTTGCGGTTTTGGAGCTGAATAACCCTCACCAGCCTTCTTGGGAGAGGGAGGGGGCAGAACTTCCTCCTCTACAGCTGAAATAGTTACAGGTAGGTGTTGGGGTGAGGTTTGGAAATTATCATAATAATTATTTCGGAGACCACTGATCTGAGCTAGATCAGTATGGTATGGCATGGTAAGAGGTACGTGGCTGGTTTTTTCGGTATAGTGCCGAGAAAACTATCCCGCACCTACTTACCAGACCCGCAACGGATCAAGGCTGACCTTAACATAGTATAGTATAGAGCTAAATATAGTATTATGCCTTGACATAAATATTTTTTTTAAATATGAGCCACAGTTCTTTCTTCTACCTTAAACTCCACACAAACTCCTGCATCGTAAATAATACATATTGAAAACGGTTTATAGAATAAACTTACACTAAACACATACTAATTACTATGTATAACAAACTACACAGTATCGGCAGTGATTCGGCACGTAGATAAAGAATAAGAACATTTAAACATATACAAATTCTGATTACACTCAGTGTACTTGTATCTATAAGGCTTTACATCTCACTAAAACAATGAACTATTGCCTCTGATTTTTGCAATTGTCCTGCTTTATTTAGTTCTTTCATCTTTTTGACAAGTCCACTGTGTATCCTTCTCTGCTCTTTTGTCCTATCCGGTGCAAGATACACTGACTTAAAATCTTATTATTATTATTAATCAACTATATACAGCAAACACAAGATAATAGGAAATAAATCATAAAATCGAGTGGCCGAGTAGTCTCGACTCACCCATAGCTTCTCCATAAACGTCTATCATGAGCTTTGTACACTAAATCGTTGAAATTACTTAAACTAAATCTTTTATTTACAATCACAATAATATTCTTCGTCATAATGTCTTTTAATAATAAATCAAATAAATTTGAACGAGGTCTGCCCCTCCTTCCTTTGTAGTCAAGACATCCTAAACATGCAAATCTAAAAGATAAGAAAGCGGGAGTGTCATCACCGCTTCTGAGAACGTGCCCAAGCATCTTCCATCGTGCTTTCTTGATCCTTTCAGTAAGGGGACTGACATTACATCTCTTATATAAGTTCTCGTTACTGATAACCGTAGGCCAATAGGTGTTGATTATCTGTCTCAGATGCTTCCTTTGAAGAATGTCGACAGATGCCATTACGGTTTCAGGAGCAGCCCAGCTGCTACAGTTATACAACAACACTGGCGTGACAAGAGCTTCGTACAACTTCAGCTTTCTACTCTCACTGATCTGAACAGAACTATTCAACCAGACTTTCTTGTAGGTGTAGAAGGCAACATTGGCTTTGTTGCGTCTGTTGACAATATCTCTTTCTGAACAGAGCTTTGATCCTAATAGCACTGACTCTCGCCACTCTTCATTTCCTCTGATTTTATTGAAATGGGCATCTAAAGCATCTGTCTCTGCCAAATACACTCTTGTAAACACTCCCCTTCTTAGTCTCCTTAACGTCCTCCCATCCCCCTCTTTAGTCTCCTTAACGTCCTCCCATCCCCTTCTTTAGTCTCCTCCCACTCCCCTTCTTTTGTCTCCTTAACGTCTCCCACTCCCCTTCTTTAGTCTCCTTAACGTCCTCCCACTCCCCTTCTTTAGTCTCCTTAGTGTCCTCCTACTCCCCTTCTTTAGTCTCCTTAACGTACTCCCACTCCCCTCTTTAGTCTCCTTAACGTCCTCCTACTCGGGCTACTCCCCTTCTTTAGTCACCTCCCACTCCCCTTCTTTAGTCTCCTTAACGTCCTCCCACTCCCCTTCTTTAGTCTCCTTAACGTCCTCCTACTCCCCTTCTTTAGTCTTCTTAACGTCCTCCCACTCCCCTTCTTCAGTCTCCTTAGCGTCCTCCTACTCCCCTTCTTTAGTCTCCTTAACGCCGTAGATAATCAAGTTTCTCGATCTTTCTTCTTCATCATTCACTGATCTCACGGCTTCTTACACAGTTCTTGCTGATTGTTCTGGGTGCTGTTGTTCTTGATAACATCTGGCCAACTTTTTATTTCACTTTTTACAGTTTTCTGCACCGAGCTTAAGTTTTTTTAAATCGGCCGGTGGTAAGTGGTTTAATTGATGATTTTGTGACCCAAATGTGATACTTAAGTGTCTCACGTTCTCTCCCTCTCTCCCACTCTCGTTCTATCTCTCCCTCATACTCCAATAACACATTTGCTATATAATTAGGTAATTTGGCAGTGGACCGCAAGTTTGCCTATCAAGTATTACTATTAGATACGTGAGGTGCACTCAGTATTGAATTGAAGTATGCTTTGACTGAGCGATTTTATACTTTTGCACCGTTTTAACTGCGACAGTGCAATGCGTGTTTTCGAATAAGCGGGATTATACTTTTGCATTTCAACTGTGATAGTGAAGACTCGGCCGTAGGCCTGGGTTACACTAGTGTTTTACATAGCATAATGTTTTTCACTCCAACTGTCTCACGAATATTTCTCTAGCTTTCATATTCCATGTTGTTTGCCTCATAGTAGATATTTTGGTCATCGGTTTTGTGTAAAATTCGTAACTGTAATACATTGATGTAAAATTCATTTAAATTTTGAAATAAAAATGTTTTAGCATCTGCAGCACATATAAGCATTATATACACTATTATATAATATAGACTATCTGCATTTTAGGTATCGGTATTAAAGTTAAAACTGTAGTTATTTTTAATTGTAGTTGACGAAATGAGAGTCTCCACTCAGTGTGTTAAAACATAATTCTTTGTCGACGTTTCGGCTACATGCCTTTGTCATAAACAGGACGTACTGAAAACTTACATAGCTGCAAAGATACAATGTTAAAATAATCTATTAAAATAATCTATTAATACTACGAAATATAACAACAACAAATAACATCTTGAAACACAACAACAATCACAAATTTATCCAAAAGAAACATAAAATATAACGGCTAAAAGAATCCAAACCGCAACAAGCCGTGAACAATTCTTCATAATATTACAAACATTTTACCAAGATAGCTCCTTCATAAAACTGATTAATCAAAAATTATCTAGGTTTATAAGTTCAATATTACATTAACTTCCAAGTATATTTTATCCAATCACCTTCATTTACGGACTCAGACAATTGAGTATTTATTTCTGGGTTTTCACGTTTTATTAGAACCGACTGCCACAATTGACGGTCCACATAGTCTTTACATCTTTTTCGAACTATAAACCGAAACGGTATGTTTGGCATTGAAATGTCTGCATGCTCCTCTAGGTAGTGCTTCCCCATGGCCGTAGATTTGTTGCCATCCCTTACTATGGATGGCAACAAATCTACGGCCATGGGGAAGCACTACCTAGAGGAGCATGCAGACATTTCAATGCCAAACATACCGTTTCGGTTTATAGTTCGAAAAAGATGTAAAGACTATGTGGACCGTCAATTGTGGCAGTCGGTTCTAATAAAACGTGAAAACCCAGAAATAAATACTCAATTGTCTGAGTCCGTAAATGAAGGTGATTGGATAAAATATACTTGGAAGTTAATGTAATATTGAACTTATAAACCTAGATAATTTTTGATTAATCAGTTTTATGAAGGAGCTATCTTGGTAAAATGTTTGTAATATTATGAAGAATTGTTCACGGCTTGTTGCGGTTTGGATTCTTTTAGCCGTTATATTTTATGTTTCTTTTGGATAAATTTGTGATTGTTGTTGTGTTTCAAGATGTTATTTGTTGTTGTTATATTTCGTAGTATTAATAGATTATTTTAATAGATTATTTTAACATTGTATCTTTGCAGCTATGTAAGTTTTCAGTACGTCCTGTTTATGACAAAGGCATGTAGCCGAAACGTCGACAAAGAATTATGTTTTAACACACTGAGTGGAGACTCTCATTTCGTCAACTACAATTAAAAATAAATGATTGACCCACTCATAAGAGCAAAACAAGATTACCAAAACTGTAGTTAATTTAGACTGTCTGCATAGTTTAACTGCACAATAATCGCCCCTTGTAGTCTAAATTTACATTCATCATTGCTAAAATTCATTCATCAAAACATTTTTCCAACAAAGTTTCCAGGTCCTCCTTCCTTGCACCCTATTTGAGATCTATACTCTAGGTCCTCTCTACTTGCACCCTATTTGAGATCTATACTCCAGGTCCTCTTTCCTTGCACCCTATTTGAAATCTATACTCTAGGTCCTCTTTCCTTGTACCCTATTTGAGATCTATACACTAGGTCCTCTTTCCTTGCACCCTATTTGAAATCTATATTCTAGGTCCTCTTTCCTTGCACCCTATTTGAAATCTATATTCTAGGTCCTCTTTCCTTGCACCCTATTTGAAATTTATATTCACGTCAATTGTGGCAGTCGGTTCTAATAAAACGTGAAAACCCAGAAATAAATACTCAATTGTCTGAGTCCGTAAATGAAGGTGATTGGATAAAATATACTTGGAAGTTAATGTAATATTGAACTTATAAACCTAGATAATTTTTGATTAATCAGTTTTATGAAGGAGCTATCTTGGTAAAATGTTTGTAATATTATGAAGAATTGTTCACGGCTTGTTGCGGTTTGGATTCTTTTAGCCGTTATATTTTATGTTTCTTTTGGATAAATTTGTGATTGTTGTTGTGTTTCAAGATGTTATTTGTTGTTGTTATATTTCGTAGTATTAATAGATTATTTTAATAGATTATTTTAACATTGTATCTTTGCAGCTATGTAAGTTTTCAGTACGTCCTGTTTATGACAAAGGCATGTAGCCGAAACGTCGACAAAGAATTATGTTTTAACACACTGAGTGGAGACTCTCATTTCGTCAACTACAATTAAAAATAAATGATTGACCCACTCATAAGAGCAAAACAAGATTACCAAAACTGTAGTTAATTTAGACTGTCTGCATAGTTTAACTGCACAATAATCGCCCCTTGTAGTCTAAATTTACATTCATCATTGCTAAAATTCATTCATCAAAACATTTTTCCAACAAAGTTTCCAGGTCCTCCTTCCTTGCACCCTATTTGAGATCTATACTCTAGGTCCTCTCTACTTGCACCCTATTTGAGATCTATACTCCAGGTCCTCTTTCCTTGCACCCTATTTGAAATCTATACTCTAGGTCCTCTTTCCTTGTACCCTATTTGAGATCTATACACTAGGTCCTCTTTCCTTGCACCCTATTTGAAATCTATATTGTAGGTCCTCTTTCCTTGCACCCTATTTGAAATCTATATTCTAGGTCCTCTTTCCTTGCACCCTATTTGAAATCTATATTCTAGGTCCTCTTTCCTTGCACCCTATTTGAAATCTATACTCTAGGTCCTCTTTCCTTGTACCCTATTTGAAATCTATACTCTAGGTCCTCTTTCCTTGCACCCTATTTGAAATCTATATTCTAGGTCATCTTTCCTTGCACCCTATTTGAAATCTATATTCTAGGTCCTCTTTCCTTGCACCCTATTTGAAATCTATATTCTAGGTCCTCTTTCCTTGCACCCTATTTGAAATTTATATTCTAGGTCCTCTTTCCTTGCACCCTATTTGAAATCTATACTCTAGGTCCTCTTTCCTTGTACCCTATTTGAAATCTATACTCTAGGTCCTCTTTCCTTGCACCCTATTTGAGATCTATACTCTAGGTCCTCTTTCCTTGCACCCTATTTGAGATCTATACTCTAGGTCCTCTTTCCTTGCACCCTATTTGAAATCTATATTCTAGGTCCTCTTTCCTTGCACCCTATTTGAAATCTATACTCTATAGTCTATGTACACTATACTATAACACTGCTAAAAGCGTATTTTCAAAATTTCTGGGAATTTGTTCCCTAAATTAGCACAACAAAATCTTGCTGGATTTATGGCTAGAATATTTCAACCCTGAAAGTAAATTCCCTGAAATTTTACCAAGAGACTACAATATGCATTCCTTTTTCTCGAAGCATGCCACGCATTGAACTGCAAGAGAGGAGGGTTTGTTCACATACGACACGACAACACCAGTGATTTCCTCTCTGAAATTCTCGTTCAAACTAATTCATCTCTTAAGCTACTGATGCATATGGAGGCTCAGTCCGATCAGTTCGGCAACACGGCCGATGCAGCAAGATTGGAAAGCTGGTGAGCTTACCGGGTTCCTGCGTGGTATGGATGGGGGGTAAGGCAGAGTAACCTCCGTATAGTTACCTGGTTCCTACGTGGTATGGATGGGGGGTAAGGCAGAGTAACCTCCGTATAGTTACCTGGCTCCTGCGTGGTATGGATGGGGGGTAAGGCAGAGTAACCTCCGTATAGTTACCTGGTTCCTGCGTGGTATGGATGGGGGGTAAGGCAGAGTAACCTCCGTATAGTGCCGGGAACTCTCCTCCGCCAGAGATAGTGCACATTGCACTGGGTAAAGTGTGCGGGTATGTAGATATTTTACTTTCTGTTCCCTCCTCTCCTGAGAAAAAGAGTACTGGTAATGCACCATAGTCAGAGGTTTAATTATAATATTGAAGTGAGGTTTAGTAAGAAAAAAGTTATTTTTCAAAGAAAAGCTCCCGATCGTGGATATAATATATAGTTACTCGGGCGTAGTAACCATAGTAACTGTATATCTATATAATATACTGTATATCTCAGTGTAACCAGTAACTACTGTATATCTATATAATATACAGTTACTCGGGCGTGCTGTATATCTCAGTGTAACCAGTAACTACTGTATATCTATATCCACCCGGAAGGCTAAAGCACTTGTGTATACACCTTGATCCCGGAGAAGAAGTATATCGTCAAAAAATTTCGAATGGCCGATCAAGTTTAAAGAATGACTTTTTTGTGTGACATTCGCCCTTCCAAAAAAAACACGACGAATGTTTGCAGCATACGAGCATACAGTACGTTATATATTCGACCACTATTATCAAACTCCCAATGTATAACATTCGCCCTTTGAAAATCTAAACTAAGCACGATAGAGCTTCAAACTGATTGGGATGTTATAGACCTCTACTATTAGACCTTTGTTTTAAGCCATAGTAAAATTTGACATTCGTCCTTTAGAAAAAACCACAACGATATATAAAATATAATTTATAAGCTATTAAAGAGTTCAAGTAAACTATCGTCACAATTAAACACATTTATTGAGGACGTTACAGAGGGAATTGATTTAATGTAATCCGCGGATCATGAGTCCCAGGGGTGTAGGAAGCGCCCCCCCCCCCACATAAAATTTGGGCAACAAGGGCCAACTTTTTAATTTAGGTTTCTAAAAATTTTTCTGGAAACTACTTTTGTTCATATTTCATGCTACCCTGATCATTATGAGCCGAAAATATTTTTTCGGTTTTCGAAGTTCGTACCTACATTCGGAAGGCTGTGGATGTGATTGGTTTCATATACTTATAGAAAACGTGATATTTGGCCTGCAGATTTGAAGGAAAATACGCGAATTTGGATTTAAAGGAAAATGCGCAATTTGTCGCGAGGCCAGGATCTGAAAAACCGCGATTTGTCGCGGCAAAGATGAAAAATCGCGATTCCGCACATGCCGCAATTTCCTTTTGTCCTTACCCCGAACATCTTTTGAAATTTAGTTTTTGGCAAAAAATTTAGGTTTTGGCAAAAAATATCTAAAATTTGCCCAGATTTTACTATTTTCACAACTTCGACTTAATTTTTGTAAACTACAATTTACTACGTTTATTGAGTACTATGTAATGGAAGTGCTTTAACCAGGTGAAGCCAGTTCACAGCTTGGCTTCAAAATACAAAGGACTTGTTTTAATTGTAAATGAAAAGCTCGAATAAAATGACCTAGCTAAAAAACGCGAGATTTCAACTTAATTTGAGAGCAAGAATTGGTTTCAATATTTCGTTTTATTAAGTCTTTCCCGGGGAAATATGGTTAAATTTAAACTGTAGATATTATGAAAACTGTTAAATCGAACAGCAATAAGAAACAACATGATCTGACTAATACTGACCGTGATAATTTCTAATTTCTGGACTGATGAACTGTCTTTCATTCTCACACCTCTGCTTTGAAATATTGGCACACTTCTTTCTGTCAAGTTGCTTATCCAATTGCTGCTGTTTAGCCAAATACATCTCCGTGTAACTGGTCTTATTCTTCTTACTGGGCTTTACCTGAAAGTGTGACAACGCATGAGGGAGTGTGACAACGCATGAGAGAGTGTGACAACGCATGAGGGAGTGTGACAACGCATGAGGGAGTGTGACAACGCATGAGAGAGTGTGACAACGCATGAGAGAGTGTGACAACGCATGAGAGAGTGTGACAACGCATGAGAGAGTGTGACAACGCATGAGAGAGTGTGACAACGCATGAGAGAGTGTGACAACGCATGAGAGAGTGTGACAACGCATGAGAGAGTGTGACAACGCATGAGAGAGTGTGACAACGCATGAGGGAGTGTGACAACGCATGAGAGAGTGTGACAACGCATGAGGGAGTGTGACAACGCATGAGAGAGTGTGACAACGCATGAGGGAGTGTGACAACGCATGAGAGAGTGTGACAACGCATGAGAGAGTGTGACAACGCATGAGAGAGTGTGACAACGCATGAGGGAGTGTGACAACGCATGAGAGAGTGTGACAACGCATGAGAGAGTGTGACAACGCATGAGAGAGTGTGACAACGCATGAGGGAGTGTGACAACGCATGAGGGAGTGTGACAACGCATGAGGGAGTGTGACAACGCATGAGGGAGTGTGACAACGCATGAGGGAGTGTGACAACGCATGAGGGAGTCTGGCGACTTGGGAGGGATAATAGGAGTGTGATATGATATTATGATATATGCCTTGGTACCACTGTAAACCACTGATTTGGAGATATTTTTTGTGTTTAAGGTGATATCTCAAATTGGCATAAAGAAATTCGCCCAAACTTACAGTTAAACAGATGATCCGTCCTATAACCATCATACTTTATGGAAAGTTTCAAGAAAATCGTATAGTAGGATACCCATGCTTTTAGTATTTACACAATAATATAGTAGGATACCCATGCTTTTAGTATTTATACAATATGGTCTACAACTTTCACCCAAGATAATGCCTCATGATGTCGTTTAAAAAAAATTCTCATTGCTGTATTGTATATGTACTATTTGTAAAAGTTTTAAATCAGGATCCAACATAAACCATTGTCCAAAAAACCTAGCTTCGGAGTCGCTGTCAGACAAGAGTGGCCCAATCCTACCTTAATCTGTGAGATATTGTTTGTAGGATGTTTGAAAGAGTGGCCCAATCCTACCTTAATCTGTGAGATATTGTTTGTAGGATGTCAGACAAGAGTGGCCCAATCCTACCTTAATCTGTGAGATATTGTTTGTAGGATGTCAGACAAGAGTGGCCCAATCCTACCTTAATCTGTGAGATATTGTTTGTAGGATGTTTGAAAGCTTTTGGGTGCTGGATATCATTGTAAAGCACTTCCGCTTGGTCGTTTATCCTCTCAACTAATCTAGAGCTGGAACTTGCCTGACGAGTAATTACAATATAAAGAAAATAGAAAAATTAGCAACGAATTGACGACAAAAATAGCTGAGCCCAAGATTTTCAATTTGAGTAATCATGTGACGGCACACCACCTTTACCACCACATTTACCACCACCTTTACACCACCACATACCAGTTTAGCCTGTAAGAGTTCATTCGAGTCCCTAACACAGCAGAGGACGTTAGAAGAGTTGATGTATTCCATTGACAAACTGGACAGCAGATTACTTTGCCTTTCTGAATCCTGCCGTCTTATCTGGTTTGTTTGAACATTTTATTGACCGATAAGAACAGACCAAACTAAAAGGTGAATTTCAGAATTGTTTTTGCGATTATTTCACCAAAAATTCAAAAAGCCAAATTGATAATAAGGAAGCGATAAGCAATTAATATTCTAAGAGAAAAGAGCACAAAAATCGAACCACAAAATCATCAGAAAGTTTTCTCCTGTCGGTCCTCTTTCCTCCGGACAGCACTTTGTTTACACTTCTGATGGAGAACTGAGGTGCTGTAACTCCATCGCCTGAATGATGTGACGTCACGTGGTGTGAACTCACTCTCCTTATGTTATAGTGAAAATGGAGAGAGTTCTGAAACGCACGTCGCACAATAAGTACTACTACTATGTCACTATTATAAGTTTCACCAAGTTACAATTTCCATAGTTTCCTTCATATCGAAAATGGAAAGGCTTACGGATGGATGGCGAGTTATTAATTAACCTTGGTAGGTAGTGCACCCCCTAACCTTGGTATTCTGTTCTAATGAGAGAGTGTTTTCGGAGAGTTGTTGAGGGGTGTTGGTCAACCTGTCAACTGATCAGGGTGCACCTGTCAACTAATCAGGGTGCACCTGTCAACTAATCAGGGTGCACCTGTCAACTAATCAGGGTGCACCTGTCAACTAATCAGGGTGCACCTGTCAACTAATCAGGGTGCACCTGTCAACTAATCAGGGTGCACCTGTCAACTAATCAGGGTGCACCTGTCAACTAATCAGGGTGCACCTGTCAACTCATCAGGGTGCACCTGTCAACTGATCAGGGTGCACCTGTCAACTAATCAGGGTGCACCTGTCAACTAATCAGGGTGCACCTGTCAACTAATCAGGGTGCACCTGTCAACTAATCAGGGTGCACCTGTCAACTAATCAGGGTGCACCTGTCAACTAATCAGGGTGCACCTGTCAACTAATCAGGGTGCACCTGTCAACTAATCAGGGTGCACCTGTCAACTAATCAGGGTGCACCTGTCAACTAATCAGGGTGCACCTGTCAACTAATCAGGGTGCACCTGTCAACTAATCAGGGTGCACCTGTCAACTGATCAGGGTGCACCTGTCAACTAATCAGGGTGCACCTGTCAACTGATCAGGGTGCACCTGTCAACTAATCAGGGTGCACCTGTCAACTAATCAGGGTGCACCTGTCAACTAATCAGGGTGCACCTGTCAACTAATCAGGGTGCACCTGTCAACTAATCAGGGTGCACCTGTCAACTAATCAGGGTGCACCTGTCAACTAAACAGGTTGCACCTGTCAACTAATCAGGGTGCACCTGTCAACTAATCAGGGTGCACCTGTCAACTAATCAGGGTGCACCTGTCAACTAAACAGGTTGCACCTGTCAACTAATCAGGGTGCACCTGTCAACTAATCAGGGTGCACCTGTCAACTGATCAGGGTGCACCTGTCAACTAATCAGGGTGCACCTGTCAACTGATCAGGGTGCACCTGTCAACTAATCAGGGTGCACCTGTCAACTGATCAGGGTGCACCTGTCAACTAATCAGGGTGCACCTGTCAACTAATCAGGGTGCACCTGTCAACTAAACAGGTTGCACCTGTCAACTAATCAGGGTGCACCTGTCAACTAATCAGGGTGCACCTGTCAACTAATCAGGGTGCACCTGTCAACTAATCAGGGTGCACCTGTCAACTAAACAGGTTGCACCTGTCAACTAATCAGGGTGCACCTGTCAACTAATCAGGGTGCACCTGTCAACTGATCAGGGTGCACCTGTCAACTAATCAGGGTGCACCTGTCAACTAATCAGGGTGCACCTGTCAACTAATCAGGGTGCACCTGTCAACTAATCAGGGTGCACCTGTCAACTAATCAGGGTGCACCTGTCAACTAATCAGGGTGCACCTGTCAACTAATCAGGGTGCACCTGTCAACTAATCAGGGTGCACCTGTCAACTAAACAGGTTGCACCTGTCAACTAATCAGGGTGCACCTGTCAACTAATCAGGGTGCACCTGTCAACTGATCAGGGTGCACCTGTCAACTAATCAGGGTGCACCTGTCAACTAATCAGGGTGCACCTGTCAACTAATCAGGGTGCACCTGTCAACTAATCAGGGTGCACCTGTCAACTAATCAGGGTGCACCTGTCAACTAATCAGGGTGCACCTGTCAACTAATCAGGGTGCACCTGTCAACTAATCAGGGTGCACCTGTCAACTAATCAGGGTGCACCTGTCAACTAATCAGGGTGCACCTGTCAACTAATCAGGGTGCACCTGTCAACTGATCAGGGTGCACCTGTCAACTAATCAGGGTGCACCTGTCAACTGATCAGGGTGCACCTGTCAACTAATCAGGGTGCACCTGTCAACTAATCAGGGTGCACCTGTCAACTAATCAGGGTGCACCTGTCAACTAATCAGGGTGCACCTGTCAACTAATCAGGGTGCACCTGTCAACTAATCAGGGTGCACCTGTCAACTAAACAGGTTGCACCTGTCAACTAATCAGGGTGCACCTGTCAACTAATCAGGGTGCACCTGTCAACTAATCAGGGTGCACCTGTCAACTGATCAGGGTGCACCTGTCAACTAATCAGGGTGCACCTGTCAACTAATCAGGGTGCACCTGTCAACTAATCAGGGTGCACCTGTCAACTCATCAGGGTGCACCTGTCAACTGATCAGGGTGCACCTGTCAACTAATCAGGGTGCACCTGTCAACTAATCAGGGTGCACCTGTCAACTAATCAGGGTGCACCTGTCAACTAATCAGGGTGCACCTGTCAACTAATCAGGGTGCACCTGTCAACTAATCAGGGTGCACCTGTCAACTAATCAGGGTGCACCTGTCAACTAATCAGGGTGCACCTGTCAACTAATCAGGGGTGCACCTGTCAACTAATCAGGGTGCACCTGTCAACTAATCAGGGTGCACCTGTCAACTAATAAGGGTGCACCTGTCAACTAATAAGGGTGCACCTGTCAACTAATAAGGGTGCACCTGTCAACTAATAAGGGTGCACCTGTCAACTAATAAGGGTGCACCTGTCAACTAATCAGGGTGCACCTGTCAACTAATCAGGGTGCACCTGTCAACTAATCAGGGTGCACCTGTCAACTAATCAGGGTGCACCTGTCAACTAATCAGGGTGCACCTGTCAACTAATCAGGGTGCACCTGTCAACTAATCAGGGTGCACCTGTCAACTAATCAGGGTGCACCTGTCAATTAATCAGGGGTGCACCTGTCAACTAATCAGGGTGCACCTGTCAACTAATCAGGGGTGCACCTGTCAACTAATCAGGGGTGCACCTGTCAACTAATCAGGGGTGCACCTGTCAACTAATCAGGGTGCACCTGTCAACTAATCAGGGTGCACCTGTCAACTAATCAGGGTGCACCTGTCAATTAATCAGGGGTGCACCTGTCAACTAATCAGGGTGCACCTGTCAACTAATCAGGGGTGCACCTGTCAACTAATCAGGGGTGCACCTGTCAATTAATCAGGGGTGCACCTGTCAACTAATCAGGGTGCACCTGTCAACTAATCAGGGGTGCACCTGTCAACTAATCAGGGGTGCACCTGTCAACTAATCAGGGGTGCACCTGTCAACTAATCAGGGTGCACCTGTCAACTAATCAGGGTGCACCTGTCAACTAATCAGGGTGCACCTGTCAACTAATCAGGGGTGCACCTGTCAACTAATCAGGGTGCACCTGTCAACTAATCAGGGTGCACCTGTCAACTAATCAGGGTGCACCTGTCAACTAATCAGGGTGCACCTGTCAACTAATCAGGGTGCACCTGTCAACTAATCAGGGTGCACCTGTCAACTAATCAGGGTGCACCTGTCAACTAATCAGGGTGCACCTGTCAACTAATCAGGGGTGCACCTGTCAACTAATCAGGGTGCACCTGTCAACTAATCAGGGTGCACCTGTCAACTAATCAGGGTGCACCTGTCAACTAATCAGGGTGCACCTGTCAACTAATCAGGGTGCACCTGTCAACTAATCAGGGTGCACCTGTCAACTAATCAGGGTGCACCTGTCAACTAATCAGGGGTGCACCTGTCAACTAATCAGGGTGCACCTGTCAACTAATCAGGGTGCACCTGTCAACTAATCAGGGTGCACCTGTCAACTAATCAGGGTGCACCTGTCAACTAATCAGGGTGCACCTGTCAACTAATCAGGGTGCACCTGTCAACTAATCAGGGTGCACCTGTCAACTAATCAGGGTGCACCTGTCAACTAATCAGGGTGCACCTGTCAACTAATCAGGGGTGCACCCCTGATTAGTTGACATATCATTGATTAATATAATATCAACATAACAATTTATTCACCTGTCTTTTATTCATTGCTCCATGATTTTTCAGAGATGAGTGGCAGTTTTCTAACATCATAGCCATACTTAGATTAAAGTTACATTGTTAATTTTCAAAATATGATTATCATTGGTATAACTTAAAGCCAGAGAGCTAGAGGGGTGGGGGGGGGGGGGTCCAAGGTCAATTTTAATCATTGTTGATGTGATAGCGCTACTGGAGACGATCAAGTATCGAGGAAAAACGTATTCTGATTGTCGTTTTGCCTCACGAGCCATATAAACCATGACTGCATTGAAGCTGCCACCAACCTGACTGATGAACAGATATGATCAGTATCTGAAAGATGTTTAATACTTTAGTCGGTAATATTATGGGGGAGGGGGGGGGGAAATTAATAATATTTTTATTAACAAAAACACTCAGTGTCTATTTATTTAATTTAGACACTCAACTGCAGTCAAGCATCGTAATTTCCCCGTCGAAATTTTCTAATTGCAAACGAGTGCATTCCAAACATATGTTCCATGAATGCTATGTAGTTAACCTGAAATGGTTGACCACGTGACGTCGTTACAATTTACAATTTAGTTCACCAGAACTCCCGAATAGGTCCGACTTAAGTAATCATGTTACTGTCATGTTACTGTGAAGTTTTTATTGCATGATATTGACAATTTAATGTTCACCACAACTACAAACGTCATCGTGACGTGGAAAACGTTCTCAAACTGTGGAACACTCAATAATTGTCAAGCATACTTATCATATGATCAAGCATATTATCTAAGAAACATTCAGAAAGTGTCAAGCATGACATCACTGTTTAAATATTGCACGTGAATGTAGGAGCATTATATAGACACGAGAAATAAGTAAGTAAATAAACGTATACGAGGATCAAAATAAACGAAATATCAGAGCAGGAGGAAATTGAATAAGGTTTTCTCGTGTAGTTTGAAATATAGGTTCCGGTTCCATTCGTTTGATTCGATTGGGGAATTCCAACACTAGCACAACACTAATAACGCCTTTGTGGTAAATCGGAGTTTTACTGTAGGTATTATCAATTATCAGTGAATATTATCAATATCCAATACAGTACTATAATACATAGCTTAGGTACTGTAGATACTATAATAATATATATAGGTACTGTAGATACAATAATAATATATATAGGTATTGTAGGTACTATAATAGTTTAAGTGTATTGAATAGTAGAAGAGTAAGTACTAAACTACAACACCTATTGTAGGTACTATAATAGTTTAAGTGTATTGAATAGTAGAAGAGTAAGTACTAAACTACAACACCTATTGTAGGTACTATAATAGTTTAAGTGTATTGAATAGTAGAAGAGTAAGTACTAAACTACAACACCTATTGTAGGTACTATAATAGTTTAAGTGTATTGAATAGTAGAAGAGTAAGTACTAAACTACAACACCTATTGTAGGTACTATAATAGTTTAAGTGTATTGAATAGTAGAAGAGTAAGTACTAAACTACAACACCTATTGTAGGTACTATAATAGTTTAAGTGTATTGAATAGTAGAAGAGTAAGTACTAAACTACAACACCTACTGTAGGTACTATAATAGTTTAAGTGTATTGAATAGTAGAAGAGTAAGTACTAAACTACAACACCTATTGTAGGTACTATAATAGTTTAAGTGTATTGAATAGTAGAAGAGTAAGTACTAAACTACAACACCTACTGTAGGTACTATAATAGTTTAAGTGTATTGAATAGTAGAAGAGTAAGTACTAAACTACAACACCTACTGTAGGTACTATAATAGTTTAAGTGTATTGAATAGTAGAAGAGTAAGTACTAAACTACAACACCTATTGTAGGTACTATAATAGTTTAAGTGTATTGAATAGTAGAAGAGTAAGTACTAAACTACAACACCTACTGTAGGTACTATAATAGTTTAAGTGTATTGAATAGTAGAAGAGTAAGTACTAAACTACAACACCTACTGTTACTCAGTCTCTTCCCACAAATCAAGGTTACAAATCCTACTGCTACTCAGGGGGGGGGGGGGGGGATGACATGTCCGCCAATGTCCGTGTATGTCCTGTCCTTTTAGGATTCTATGAGACAACGGACTTGTTTTTTGGGACATTATTAGTTTTTCTGGAAACTACTTTTGTTCATGTTTCATGCTACCCTGATCATTATTAGCCGAAAATATTTTTTCGGTTTTCGAAGTGAGATGACTCACTTTGTGTCCAGAAACACCTAATAAAATTGGAGAATGATCTACTTTATCGGGCAGCTCTCTTAATGGGCCTGGCCAGCAGCATATTTGTGTCTTACCAAAGGGCAATTTTTCATAATTACTGTTTCTTTAGAAAAGAAGGAGAAGGAGGACTGAGTAAAAGTAAAGGTCAAACTTCAAAAGGTCAGCAAATTGTTCGCAATGGCCGACTCATGCACAACATATACTCAAAAACGCTAATTTTAGGAGTGATTAGTAAATAAGTTTAACTACTGCATGATTTGTGAAAATTCCAACAATTTTTCATTGGCACAAATTTAGCCAAAATGTAATGACCAAAATTCAACTTTTAATTTATTCATTCCATGAAACTATGACATGTACTATGAATACCGAACATAATATGTTCATTATATGCAAGCCTCTTGATTTATAACATAATTCATAAATGAATACTGCAGTGTAAAATCCGGATTGGAGTAGGTATTGTTTATCCCTTTATGAGTCGCATGGTTGCAATGTATTCTGTGTAAAATTATATTGATCCTGTTTGATGCGACAAGGAAAAATGCTCTTATCAGGAAAGGAATTTACTCAACGTTTCAATGTTACAACATCGTATTCATGATCTCAAATTATTTCTTTTAAAAATTAAAAACGTTAAAAACATATATCTGAGGCAAAATTTGTGTACATCAATTTATTTTTTTAAATTTGTCAATCAACTTTATCCAAAAATGCGATACAAAAAAAGTCATAACAAAAATTCATAACAAAATTGATTAGTTCATACGACGACAAACTTTTATAGTAATTACTGTACAGTCCTAAAACTACTACAAGACTAAATATACTACACATGATACATAAGCATGGAATGCTACAAGGGGGAACAGGTGCATGATGTGAAGTGTGTGGAGAAAAAATGGCGGGAATGGTATTGACCAATGAGAAGTGCGAAACGTGGGAGCCAAATATGGTTTGATTGAGGCTAAGGGTTAGTGTGTCGAATGCAAGGCAGAAGTGTGTGTGTGTGAGAGGTGGTCCCTGTACTGAGAAAGTAAACAAAACCTATAAATATCACTGAATATCACTACATGTGTAGGCGATCCCCTGTCTGTAAAGTATAAAATATGTTACACCCTGTTATTATGTACTTGTAACTGAAAAACGTTTAATGGTTTCTAACTCATCTCTCTTGTTAATGTTAGGTTTACACTTTACACTTACTACAGTCCTAAAACTACTACAAGACTAAATATATATACTAAACATGATACATGAGCATGGAATGCTACAACGGTGAAAAGGTGCATGATGTGAAGTGTGTAGGTATGTATCTACATACATGTTACATGACTAGATCTCCACCCAAAAGGATTAGTCTGCTTCGACTGTGTCATTACTTTGTATTATACAACTTCGGCGGGTAACATTTCTCCATCCCTTTCGATCTGCAGCTAATCTTCTCATACAATCAATCATGAGTCCATTCCGATCCAATCTCTGCTCAGCATCCTCAATAAATAATCATTTAAGCTCTTCCTAGGCCTGCCTCTTGATCTCTTCCCATGCTTGGGTTTCAATTCAAGTAGATAGTTGGGCAGCCGATCTTCAGGCATTCTACTGACATGTCCAAACCAACACAGCCGTTCTGTTGTTATTATGTCAGCAAGAGCAGTTATTGATGCCCTTCTAAAAACATCCTCATTACTTACTCGATGGAACCACTTCACTCTCAGGATTTTGCGTAAGCAGTACTGATGGAAAGACTCCAATCTTCTTGTCTGCACTTGAGTCGCGTTCCATATCTCACATCCATAGGTCAGAATGGTAAGAAGAAGTATGTATCTAGTCTGGAGCAAAATGGCGGGAATGGTATACATATTCCCGGTATACATTGCAACCATGCAACTCAGAAACAATACTCCAATCCGGCAATAAATGGCATAGAATTGAAATTTTTGTTTATCTGAAATTTTTGTTTAATTGAAAAACAAATTGTTGGGAGGAATGAAGTGTTGTTACTAAAAACTTCAGTCTTGTTGCGACAGAAACTTTACAATTAACACTATATCATTAGGATGATGATTAATCACTCTAGTAAAACAAATTTTTTAGTAAAACAAATTTTATTTTATACCCACAATCAATTCATATTTAGTTCAAATATTTAAAGTCAAAATAACCATTTCACATAAGTGGTTATATTATAATAAAATAATTTGTGATAAATTAATAAATTAATTTACACTCAAAAATGAACAAAATATACACAATTTTTGACTAGTGCAACACTGGTTCAGCGCGCGGCTGATCGAAAAAGTTTGATTTGATTTACTAACTACAGTGTACAGCGTACATGAAAAAATTCTGCAAGTTCTAATCCCCAGTTATGTAAAGATTAAAAATGGGGGGGGGGGCCCCTTGCAATCACCTCTGTCCAGTCCCCGAATCGACATCAAACCATTTCTTGTCAATTCTCCATGGACACGAAACTGCCCTTCAGTTGTCCTAAAGAGTAACGCTTCGTTGAAAACATTGTTATATTTTGGGGAACGGAAAAAAGAAGACCCTTATTGTTCAAAAGCTTTACAAATCAAAGTCCACGATTGAGTGAATCAAAAGCCCCGCTTCTCTTTTAAAATCAATAATGTTATGTAAAAAAGGGACGTGGAATTCTATTCAATTGTGTTATTATACAATGATGTGGAGTAAGCCTGATTATACAGAAAACCGGTTTTCCGGGAAAACCACCACTGTTTCTCCTTGAGCAATTTTTTCAAGCCCCTTACTCGTCTTTTTTAACAACACAATTTGGGTAATAAACTTTTTTTTTGATACAGTTGAGCTTAACGTTAT